AATTATACCTGGAGATCGGATAGTTCTTTGTCTTACAGCTGGAGGAATACCAAAAAGTCCTTCACCCCTAATGTATAAACTTAATTCATTACTGATTTTATCTTCTTCAGCTCATCTTGAGATAATCTTCCAATACATTGGTAAAGACCATCAGATATTTCCTTATCTTTGGCAATATCAGAGTTATTTGAAGAAATATTCAGGATTTAAAAAATGTCTCGCTGCATGTAGAGGCTGAAGTAATTACATTTCCCATCTTCTATCAATCATTTTAAAAATTTGATCATAATTATCACTATTATTGAAGTTTGCAGCAATTGTCTCTTTTGCTCTATCAATTGCTTCATATATGTAAGTCATTGGGGGCTTCTTCTCTCCATCAATCAATCTAAGAACCTTTAATAAAGGACCAGCTATTTTTAAGGCATACACTATAGTGTTCCAAAATGATTGTTATAAGATTGTATGTTGAGATTGTTTTGCTTTAGCCTCTTTTGCATAAGGACCCAAGATAAATTCCTCACAAGTAAATATTTTCTTCAAGTTCAGTTGTTGTTGATGAAAATGTTGTAAAGTTAAGAAAGTTGTTGCAAAGTGAGTCTTTGCGGGTTTGATAAGTGCTCTTTGATTTGTGCACCTTCTCATTAACTCAAGTAAGCGAGGCCTATAATATATAAAACTGAGTACTGCCACTGCTTTCTCAAAGCATCCTCTTAGCTTTTGAATTTTGAAAATGTCCTCCATTATTAAATCCAAACAGTGAGCAACACAATGAGTGCAATAAATGTGAGGATATTTGTCCATCAATAATTTTTCTGTTATGTCATTATAATTTAAGTTAAGATATATACAAATTTTTCATGAAATAACATAACTTTAGAATAAAAGTTGTGACAAACCTGCAAGAACATTTTTGGATGCATTATCAGTGACCACTTGGATCAAATTATGTGGTCCAATAACCTCAATGTACTTGCAAAAAAGTTCAAATATTTTCACTGCATTCTTGGAGAAAGAACTAGCATCAATTGATTCTATGAATGCACTACCTCTTGGACAATTAACAAGAAAATTGATTAAGCTTTTCCCATTTCTCGACGTCCATCCATCTGCCATAAGAGAACAACCATATCGTACACAATCTTCTTGATGGCGTCGCAATAGCTCATGTGTATGTCCAACCTCTTTATTCAAACAAGTAACTCGTACCTCATGATAACTATGAGGTTTCATACCAGGTCCAACTGCCCAAGTGCCTCCACCATAGCAGGGAAACTATCATAGTTCACAGCATTAAATGGAATCCCAACATCGTGCATCCATATATTGAACATTGAACAGCCCTTCCCCTCATTTCTTTTTAGCTGCATCCATTTCTTTGTTAAACTGACATTTTCTATGCTTTACTACATCTTTAGGATTTAGTGTAAGGAAAGTATCTAATGGACCTTTAGGTCGTGATGTTTTGAAGATAAATGTAGATGTCGATCCTTGACTAGATGTGTTAGATTTATTTGTCCGCAATATTTTGGATGGTTTGGCGACTAAAATATCATCTGTCATCACATCAAAGTCTTCTTCTTCTTCTTCAGCAAGGTTGACATTTGATATGTCATTAAATTATTCTTTTAAATCTTTTTTTTCAACATGGATATGACATAGAGCAAGGCCTTCCATTCCTAAAACCCCCAACGAGGTGTTGTTTGTGGCGTGTAATTCCTCCTTTTGTTATTTTACCACAAAAAATGTATGTCACGCTGTTGTTGTCGGATTCATTTGTTAGTATAGCATATTTCCATGCTGGATCTTTTTTTAAAGATTGAACTGATTCTGACATTTTATGATCACTTAAAAGCAAACAAATTTAGATAAAAGAGACATAATATTGTTCAAGAAACATAATATGGGGGCTGTCGAGGGTCCAAGGGGGCGCTGCCCCCAAGCGGGATTCGACCTGCCCAGTCAGGTCGTGGGGTTAAGGGGCAGCGCCCCCGGAACAAAATTTATTTGTAAGAGAAATTTTGAAGTTCGTTTGTATGGAAATTAAGGAGCGGTACCGAGCGTGTACCGAGCGGTACCGAGCGTGTACCGAGCGGTACAGAGCATGTAACTAGCAGTACCGAGCATATACCGAGCGGTACCGAGCGGTATCATGCATGTACTTAGCGATACCGAGCGTGTACCTAGTTGTACCGAGCTGTACTGAGCGGTACAGACTACAGAGCATGTAACTAGCGGTACTGAGCATGTACCGAGCGGTACCGAGCATTTACATAGCGGTATCAAGCGATATCATGCATGTACTTAACGATACCGAGCGTGTACCGAGCTTGTACCTAGTTGTACCGAGCTGTACCGAGCGGTACAGAGCATGTAACTAGCGGTACTGAGCATGTACCGAGCGGTACCGAGCATTTACATAGCGATACCGACCGTGTACCTAGCGGTACCGAGCGTGTACCTAGTTGTACCGAGCTATACCGAGCGATACAGAGCATGTAACTAGCGGTACCGAGCGGTATCCAGCATATACATAGCAGTACCGAGCATTTAGCGGTACCGAGCATGTACCTAGCAGTACCGAGCATACCAGTTAAGTTGTAAATTCTTGTAAGAAATAGCCGTGCAAAACAACAGAGCTATGCGAAAAAGATGGAGGTTGCAAATCGGAGTCAGCTGGTAAGATTTTTTATTGGAACAGACGGAGGGGACGGATTTGGCAGAAGCACTGCTCTGCGGGACGATTCGGCGGAAACAACGACTTCAACTTCGGGATAGATTCGGCTGGATTCGGCGGAAGCAGCGAATGCAGCAAACAGAAAACAGAAAACCTTCGACTTTGGGATAGATTCAGAGACCTCGACTTAGGGACTGTGGGATGTGTTCGGCGGATGCAACAAATAGAAAATCTTTCATGAAATTAGGGCAATGAATAGTCGTTTATCCTAAAATATAGATATATTTTTAAATATAAAAAATATTCATAAGTATACCGAAATTTAAAAATAATTTGGCGCACTATTTTGCACCGTGTGCAAAGCGCCATGGCTCACAGGTGGCGCAAATAGCACGCGCTATTTTAAACAGATGCGCCTCGCCATGAACATGGCGTCGTAGGTGCGCCATAGCGCGCTCTATTTTGCGCCATTGACAGCTATGGTACTGATACAACACCCTTTTTCATTCTGCTTCTCATATGACCCCATTAAAGATGTTGTACGGAAGAGATCCTCCCCAGTTGGTGCACTTTGGGAGTAACACTACTCCAGTGTCGTTAGTAGATGAGTACTTGAAAGAGAGGGATAGAGTGCTAGAAGAGTTGTAAAGACATCTACTGAGGGTCTAACAGATTATGAAGAAACAAGCTGATGCGCATAGGAAGAACATCCAGTTTGAAGTAGGGGAGAGGGTGTTCTTGAAACTCCAACCATATAGGCAGAAGACAGTAGCCAACAGGAGGAATGAGAAGTTGGCTCCAATATACTTTGGGTCTTATGAAGTGCTGGAGAAGATCAGAGCAGTAGCATATCGACTGAAACTACCACCATCAGCGACTATACAACCGGTTTTTCATGCATCGCAGCTGAGAAAAACCATTGGTGACTATACAGCCAACTCTGAGTTATCGACGACACTTACTGAGGATTTAGAGGTGGTTCTGGAACCCTTAGAGCTGATGAGGGTTCGCGAGATAGAAGATGAAACTAAGGAAGTGTTGATCAAGTGGAAGAACCTTCCTGACTATGAGGCCACGTGGGAGCCATACGAGAGGGTGAAACATCAATTTCTTGATTTTCACCTTGAGGATAAGGTGATTCTTTGGGAGGGTGGTATTGTTAGGCCAGTTCACCTTAGTTAGGGAGGTATTTCTACGTTTTCTTGCTATTTTTTTACCGATTCTTGTTAGGATTTGCTTGCAAACTCAAGTAGATTTGATAGGATTACTTGCGAACTCAAATATTTCCTATTAGTTTGTTGCCTATGAAAAATTGACATCTCTAATAATCATTGATATAATATATCACCAACTATGGTTTCCTTTGGACACTCTAAAAGTGTCAGGTTCAAGTTCACTAATTAATTCAACCTAGAGGAAACATTGTATAATAAGGAATAATAAAGATAGGGCTAAAATACACTTCATGAAGTCTAATAAAGGGTTCATTTACAACTCTTTTAGCAAGTTTTGTTATGTTGGGAATAGTTGAAAAGAGTTCATCATATTGGATTGCACTTGTTGTTCTTCCAATGATAGTTGCCAAGCTCACACCGCCCATTGTCATCCGAAGAACTCACAGTATTTAAAATCTAAGTAAGCTATGAACACAGTTTATACCGAAGATACTTTGATATGCAGCTATTTGTATTATACAAGGATGTTGTCAAACCAACCATCGCACGCTCCAATTACATTTACAACTGAAGCACATAAGGACTTATCTTGATGCTAACAACTCTTTTTCTAACAACCCAAGAGACACCTTGAATAGAAGTCCCTCCACATGCTCAGAGGTGAACCATCTTAGTATTTATTTTCTACAAAATAATGAAAACTCTTCAACTAGATAGCCCCATGATTTTTCCTCCTATAGAGATTTAATGAAAAAATTTCTAATCTCCTCTAATTTGATGAGAAACTCTAAGCTATGCTATGAAGTCAACAATATATATCTTCTCAAGAACAGCTCCAACACACTAAGTTAAGATCAAGATTTTCGAATTCACCATTTCCAAATTCAGGATGGAAAGATTACAAGGCAGAAGGGTATAAACATAAAATACTAACCTTAGACAAAAACATAATAACAATTTCCTCTATTTAAACTATAATTATCAAAATATATGTGACATGAAATTTCGAATTGAAATGCATAGACTTCTGGATGCTCTGAAACATGGCTCAAAAAAGGGATCAGATAATAAAACAAGTCATGTTAACATTAACATAATCAGGATCTACATAAGCAGAATTATATTCCTCGATCAGAGAGTCAGGTTACCTTAGACCAAGCCGTCCAACAGTGCTCATCATGACGCCGTAGCACCTGCAGCTGCAGCCGAGGATTCCGCCTCAAGGTACTTACAAATCCTCTCAACAAACTCCCTCCCCTTGACGCTATTCTGCTGAAACCGCTCAACGCAGCGCTGCTCAACCTTCTCAGCAACGGCAGCCAGCGCTTTAAAGGGCTTGCAACGAATGCTAGTGTCCTGCCGCAATAGCGTCCAACCCTCAGGATTTTCAGGGTGAGGCTGATACGATGATCGCTCCTCAACCTCGATAAGGCCACGAAGGCTAGCGTTGACGGCGACGATCTCCATCGATCTGGCGCGGGGGTCAACAACTGATGTTTCGATGCAGTGGCACACGACGGCCTCGCCACCGATGATGCGGCGAAGAAAGAAAGGGAGGGAGGGAGATCGAACGGTGATGGATCGGACGGTGTGGAGGCACCCGGAAGCGGCGTCCAGGCGGCGAGAGAGTGTGTGGACGTCGAGAACGTGGGAGAGGACAGCGGGGGTATCGGGATCGGTGAACTTGCGCCAGGAAGCGGTGGTGACGCGGTCCCAGGGGTGGCGGTAGATATGTTCATGCTTGTAAGCTCGCACCATCTCTAGGTTTTCGGGGGTGGATGCGGTCGATTAGCTCTGGGAGCAGTGAGTGAACAGCAACGTCCTTTTTTTGACCTTCTGCCGTTCTGAGGGGAGGTGAAGCGCAGACCTCCATTGTTCAAAGCTTTTAATTCGTGTTTTTCGGATGTTTTAACAGAAAATTTTTAATTATAAAAAAATCTGAAAAGCAAAAAATAATAATTATTATTATTATGTTTTCTTACAAAAACGTTAAAAAAAAATAAAAAAATTGCGTTTTCTGTTAACCAATTAGTTAAGTTTTAAATTGTTTTTGAATAAATTTTTTGGATTTTCTGTTAATCAGATTCTTTTATTATTTTTATTTTTTTCTATTAACCAATTTTTTTCATAAGAAAACCAATTTTCTGTTAACAGAATTTTTTTTTTTGCATATGCATATTAATTAAAATTAAGATTTCATTTAGGATAACTTTTATATTATTTTTCAAGCAATTTTCTTGAAAAAAAAATTTAAAATTAATTTTTTTAAACATGAAAGCTAATTTAAAAAGCAGTTAGAAAGCTATCACAAACGAAATTTAAATTTGATATAATTAATACTCTTAAAATTTATTGTTTTTGATATAATTAATCCTATTAAATAATTAAGTTTGATATAAATAATAATCTTTAATTTTTTAAAGTTTTCTATTAAACAATTATCTAGATATTAATTATACCAAAATTTATATTAATTAAGTTTAATATTAATTAAACTTGATATTAAATATGATTAAATATATAAAGTTTGATCTTAAATATATCATGTTTTATATTAATTAAGTTTAAGGTTTCGTTTGGAACGGCTTTTTTATTGCTTCTTAAAGCAGATTTTTAGTATAAAAATTTTAATTTTTAAGTTAAAAATGTGTTTTAAGAAGCTGTAAGAAAGCCATAACAAACGAAGCCTAAGATTAATTAAATTTGATATTAAATAATTAAATTTTAAGAGTATTAAATAATTAAACTTTTAAATTGATATAATTAATACTCTTAAAACTTAACTATTTAAGATCAAACTTAATAATCTTAAACTTAAAGAGTTTTCCTTCTCGGTGATATTTTTCTTATTCATCCTCCTATATCTTTTTCATATAAATGAAATGAATATGAGTTTGCTTTCTTTGTTATCCATGTATAGCTAAACCTTTATGTTTTGGACCAGGGGCGGAGCCAGGATTTTCTTCATGTGGGGGCACAAATTATTAAGTTTAAGAAAAAAATTCTCACCCACTTTTATTCGGGCTTGTGACCGGTATAGACAATTATTTTTTTAAAATAATTAGACTCGTTATAAACATATAAAATATATAATTGATATATCATTAAAAAATAATCTTGATCGAACATGAATCTCGAGGCAAAATTCAAGTTGGAAACTTCAAAAATTAAAATAATTGGATTTCTGCCCGACAACCGACTAAAATCGGATTTCTGCCCGACCATCATTAGAAGCAGAATTTTCGCTCGACCACCAAATGTCGTCGGATTTTTGATCTCTTCTTGTAGTTAAATTTCAATCCGGAAGTTGATTATTGTACTCCGATCTCCCCCTAAGAAAGCATTCAGGAATCCAATATATTACTTAATTTATAAAAAAAATTTAATGACCAAAATTTTGACATCAAACAACAAACATTCAAACAAATTTATTATTATTTTAGTAATGATTGAGCAATTTGTTTTATACTATTTTAACAATACCATGCATGAACACACTATTGCAGAAATCGAAATCATCCTTAGGCAATTACATTTGGTACATTTTATTAAATTTGAATTACCTATTAATATACTTATTCCATTAAAAATTAACCCCATATTCGAACTTTATAACACAGTTACTAAAACGACACCGTATGCTAATAGCCACTTAACTGCATAAAGTACTAGCATAGGGAAATAAGAAGAAACTTTGTAGTTCATAGCAAACCATTTTTATTACTTTCAAATCTACAGCATATGTTGTAGCTTGTAGAGTTACGGAGAGAGAAGAGAGAGAGAGATATATATATATATACCACCGGCATGAGAAGGTGAAGTGTGGCTGTGTGGGCTTTTGAAGAAGAAAGAAGATGGGGATTTTGCCTTCATTTCGTGAGCTCGTCAAAGAAAAGTCCTTCCGCCTTGTCCGTGTCTGTGCATGCAAGAAAACGTTGGGCGGGATTGAGGATGAAGAAAAGAAAATTTTAATATTAATAATTTATATTAGGCCGTAATTAAAGAGCCATAAATTACTTTAATTAAGTATTAACTACAAACAGTGGGGGCCGTGCCCCCACAGCCCCCAGCGTAAATCCGCCTCTGTTTTGGACTAATGATGTAAATACATAGTAAGTGTACTAATATATGTAATTATGATTTAAATTCTCCATGGATGTTTTCAATATCTCTCGTGCTTCATTTAATGCATAAAATGACCATGTATGTAGTTAATATCTAGTGTGATGTATAGCCTCGATGGAGACACATTAAAATGATTTAGAGTATTGAAATATAATGTTGGCAGGTCTAGAGATATGATATTAAACTTTTGAAGTTCTATGGAGAAAGTGTAATTATCGGAAGGCCTTAAACCTCTCTTTTCACCTAACAAGCTCGATAGAGATATAAGACTGCATATGCTCTGATTCACATATAAAATAAAAAGTCTTATTAAAAAATTATGTTGTATTACATTCATTAGTCCAAAACATTTAATTTTTACTAGTATCAAATTTTCTTGCAAGCCTCCACTACGTGGCAAAAAAAAAAAACATTCATTTTTATATTTAGTAGAATAAATTATGCATTTAGATTTAATGATAATTAAGTAAACACTTTCTCGTAAGATCGACACTCTTCTCTATCATTTTATTACTTGATTCGGCACACATAATTGTGTATTTAGTAGACTTTCATAAATTTATATAAAAAAAATCTAGCATATTTCCATATCAATTTAAATTAAGCAACCCACTTGTATCAAGTTTTTAGCACCATTACCAGGGAAGTAATGTGTGTATTACAATTTTAATTATATTGTTGAAATAAGTGCATATTTAGACATACTTATATCATGTATCCTTTTTTTTTTTGCTTTGTTTGATAAAATTTTGGAAAAGATAAAAAAAATGTATTTTATTGATTATTTAGTTTATGATTTTTAGTTATTTTATTATTGTTGCATGCTTAGTAGATCTAGTAAAGAGTCATTACTATTTGATTAAGAAATAGAAAGAACTCTTATAGAAAATTAAAAAAAAAAAAACATTTTAGAAATGTTTGACCCAGAACAAGATCAAGATCATTCTAGACCTCTTAGATAGTATGTTAACTCCATAGTAGAAGGAATGTATCAGAGCATTAATATACCTATTGTTTAGAACAATAACTTTAAACTTATACCTGCCATAATTCAATAAAGTTCAAAATTCCTAATTTGGGGAAACTCCTATTGAGGATTTCAACTTACACTTAGCTAGTTTCTTAAAATTTTGTGTAACATTTAAGTATAATTGTGTCTGTGAAGACTCTTAGATTATTTTCATTTTCTCTAAGGGACAATGTTAAGATGTGGTTTAATTCTTTTTCCCCAAGCTCCATAATCATTTGGAATGAGTTGGCACACAAATTCCTAACTAAGTATTTCCCACCTTTAAAAACTATCAAACTTAGAAATAATATTACATATTTTGCCTAGTTTGAAAGAGAATCAATTTATGAAAGTTGGGAAAGATTTAAGGAAATACCCTCACTATGATTTACTCGATTAGGTGGTTATTCAGACTTTTTATAATGGATTGGTAGGATCCCTTAGGTCAATCATATATGCAGCAGCTAGAGTTCTTTAATGTCTAAGCTATTTGAGAAAGCATATTAATAAATAGAGAAAATTGCTATAAATTATTTTTAGTGGCCTTCTAATAGGGTGAAACATAAGAGAGTATATGGTGTGTATGAATCATATACATTATCTATTTTAACTACACAAGCAGCTGCAATTTTTATGTTATATACTATTGGAATTAGTTCAGAAACAATACCATCTATGTAACTAAAAGAGTGTGATGAAAATTCTATTGATGAAGTAGTGCTCTAGGGGTTAAAAATATGAATTTAATTAGATGTAAAAATAATCCCTATTATAATTCATATAATACAGATTGGATGAACCATTCTAATTTTAATTGGTTAAATAATATTGATGGTAATAATCAGTGGAATGCAGGTCAATCAAATCAACAAGAAAATTTAATTAATTCTCAGCGACCTGGTGTGAATCTTAGACCTTCATCTCCTGTAAGTTTTAACCAAACTAATCAATTCAGAGAAAAAAATCACTATTTGAAAAAGTTGTGAGTTAGTTAGGAACCCAGTTGCAAAGTCATGTTACTTCAATTAAAATTTTGAAAACTCAATTAGGGCATCTTACAATCCTTTTAAGTAGTAGACCCCTTAATTAGATCCTTACCAAGTAATACTGAAGTTAATCCTAAGGAGAAAGGGAAAGATCTTAGTGGAAATCAATTGAGGTGTGGTAGTGATACCCCCAACCAAATTGTTATATCTAGGAAAGTCTAGCTAAAGATTATAAATTTAGTATTGTATTGGGAGGAAACCCAATTATATTCTATATTTTTATCTTTTATTCTATTTTGTAATTTATGTTTTTCAATTATGTTTTGTAAATTATGATATGTGTATATGGTGCATGGTTTGTAAACTAGTAATACTAATTTTAACAAAGTTATGAAAATCTCCTAAGAAAAATTTGCTATGCTAAAATTGAACTAGCACCACAACGTTATCCATTAAAATGCTGCAACATCTGCATGTAAAGCATCACAACATTCAAGAATAACATTACAGTGTTGGATTATTGAGAATATTTTCTAGATTATGCTACTATAGTGTTGTATCTTTAAAAGCTATAGTGCTTATTCTCTTAATTAAGAGCTCCAGCACCACTAACTCAGGCACTATAGCTTTAGTATGTTATCCTTATAATGATTGTGGTGTAGTTGGATAAACTGTACTTTCATAACATTTACATTATAACACTTTACTGAGCATCATAGCATTGTTACCAGCACCACAATGTTAGCTAAAATCATTATTATTGTAGTTAAAGCACAGCAACAGCAGTATTTGTAAGCATTGCAATGCTCGTACGTATTAAGCACCATTTTATTCCCTTAGTCAAAAAGTTGGCACTTCATTATCTAATGTTTACATTACAGCACCAAGTGTCCTGAAACACTATAATTTCTTTCTGTGTGACTCTTTATCACTTTCTATATTCAATGCCAAGTGTCCTGTACAATGACATTGGTTTGTCGATCACCACGACATTGGTATGCTGATCACCACAACGCTCGTTATAATTATATATAGGAGTGAGAGATTTGTATTATTTTACTTGGTTTTTTCTCTAATTGTTTTTCCAAAGCTTACTATGCAATGGCCTTTAAGGTGTTAGGCAAAAGGCGATCTTCATCATCCTTCGACAAAAACATATTCATATCTAATAAGTTTGAGCAGTGTTATAACTTTTTCATAGTAAACAAGCAATTGATTCTAAAGCATGTCTCCAAAATCCATGTGATGTAGTAATGTAAACAATTGTAAACTAGGGTTGGGAGCAATTTGGTTAGAAGCCTTATGGCGCTATTATTAATGTTGTTAGAGAATTATTTGCAAATGGGAAGGATGACGGAGATAATAAGTGGTACATGAGAGATAAGTGGGTGCCTTTTGACTCTATTACTATTATCACCTTTACAAACTTCTAGATTTTGAATATGATGAGTACAATCTTATTAGTCTAACGCCTTATGATCCTAAGGTGGTTTTACGATTTTTGTTTGGACCCAATAGTGGAGCTAGTTGGAAGAAGAGAGAATAAAAATATCAAATTTTCTACATCATTTCTAACCTAAACTTCTAAAGCTTTGCATTATTTTATTTATGCCTATTTATTGCCCAGCAAAAATATTAGTGAGGTGACTAAAGATTGGGCCTTGCTTAACTATGCCATTCTAGTTGGTTACTCTATAGATTTAGGAAAGCTTGGCTACTCTTCTTTGACTTATGTTATCAGGGGTACTACTTATGTGGGCTTAGGGAATCCTCCTTTTATCTATTATTTGTGTGTTAGTACTAGTGTTAAGGGAGATTATAATGAAGAACTGCTTTTTTCTATCCAAAAGAAAATTGAGATCTTTAAAAAAGTAGGAGGATGTGATGATGAGAGAGGTCCTCGTGAGCTCAGGGTATCGAGTAAGCCTAGTAGTAGTAGGAGTTCTAGGACTCCTATGTCCTTAGGAGAGCAGGTGGTTAACTTAAGAATTTAGAAGGATAAGGTTAGACTTTTGTGATGATTCGAAAGAGTGGCAAGATGTGATGAAGATGAGAGTTACTCATTACATGGACCATCAGGAGAAGAACTACCAATATACTTCTTATTTCAATAATGCTTGGAATTGTATGTTTAGGACTAGTCCATTTATTGAGCACCCTGATAAGTTGTAGTTCCCTTCAGCTCTTATTTATGATCCTTTTATTTGGCACCCACTGGTTGGAGATGATGATAATTCTAATTAAATTTTATGACTATTATTTTCTTAGCTAGCTTTTTTAGAGAGAGAGAGAGAGAGAGAGAGAGAGAGAGAGAGAGAATGAGTGAGTGATGGATGTACGTAGTTAATTTTATTTATAACTATTTTTATTTTATTTATTTTTCATTTCTTTTGCTTAGGGAAACCTCATAATGATGTGATGTGATATTTTTATTGAGATATTGAGTTGTGACTATAGATGTTAGTTGTTATTCTAATAAAAATAGTGACCTTAGGTCAATGGAGAAGGATTACGATTAGTTCTTTAGGCACTAATTATCTTTATTATTTTTAGAAGTTTGTATTCAATGCCTTGAGTTATTTATCATTCAACAAAAAATGCATGTTATTTAGTTTTTTAATTGTTCTTATGCAATTTATTATTCTATTTTATTATGATATTTATATTTAATTTAAATTCCTTTATGATTAATTGTTGAAAATTATTCTCTATATAGCGCTTACAATTTGATTGCTTATTTAGCCAGAATAAAAATAAGAATTAAAAATTGTATAAAATTAAGATAATAATAGAACCTAGACGATAGTTTGAATGAACACTGTATAAAAATTAATAATTTGAAAATCTTAATAATTAACTAATACAAATCGCTTAAGCTAATGACTTGTTTTGAATATAGAAACTACACACTAATATACTGACTACTTAATTGAAGAATATAATTTAAGTTACTATGATTTTCAATTTTAACCTACCCATATCTATTCTTTAACCTTAATTATTCATCTTCAAGTTAAATGGTCAATTTATAAATGTATAACATATAAATTCAAGTTAAGTTAATAATTTAAATTATCTAAGTCAGTTATTATTAATTTTCCAATCTAAGAATTATAAATAAGTGTTTATTTGAATTATGAGATAGGATTTTATTATTATCCTAATTTTACATAATTATCATTTTTATTATGATATAATCAACTATCAGAATTCATAGATTTTAATTGAAAACAATATAAAAAATGTAAGTATAAGGGAAATTTAATTAAACAAAATAAAAGCATACATGAACATTAATAAATACACATATTGTCATATGAATGATATAAAGGTACAAAATATGTGATACATATAAAACTAGAACTTAAGGGTAAAAGATAACTAGTACTTAAGGCACCACTCTAACCATCATAATACAGTGGCTGTCATAGCTAATTATTCAATAATTACATCACTATAAACATGGAAGTTCTTTATATTATTGAATTATCCCCAAAAATAAACACATGTAATAAAGCAAGAGTAGAATTTACACACACAGTGTTTCTCTTGAATACACAAAAAATGAAAAATTCTTATATGTATATTCAAGATATTTATTTTTTCCTTCTCATCCTCAAGGTTTCATTCTATGACATTAACCTTGAAGATTAAAAAAGTTATATTATCCTGAATCCTTATGGCATCATTAGGAAATAATTAAATAATACTAAAAGGGCCAATCCATCCAGATTTAGTTTTTCCATGATAATATTTTTGCATTATAGATTTTTGTATCAACATAAAATTTATTTTAGAATTCATGAAGTTTATTAATTAGTGTAGAACTCTTGATGTTTAGAATAGAGAAGGAATCTTCATTCTTTAAGTGCACTTCACTTCTTTTTTAGGATGAATGCTTTCACTTATTTCCACCAATTACTTTAAAAATTTAGAAACAAAAGAGAACACTTAACAATACTTCACTAAAGAAAAATTTATATGGATAGAAAATAAAACTTTCAACTTACCCTTTTTATAGTTTTCAAGGTCACGATGGTGCCAAGATTTGAATTTTAAACTATTGTGGTCTAGCCAAGCATAATAATGTTATAATCAACGCTACGGTGCTCCTTTCACTCTCTCAAAATTTTTTAATATTTAATGCTCACTATTGTTAAATCTAATCAACCAAGCACAAAAAAATCAAAACCTGGGTTACCTCCCATATAATTCTAAGTTTATAATCTTCAATCAGACTTGCCTAAATTTATCAAATTGGTTGGGGTACATTGCTACCATTGTTCAAATGATTTTCTCTAGAATCTTTTTCCTTTTCCTTTGGATTAACTCTAATATTGCTAAAAAATTATCCAATAGGTCCGCTACTGACTGAAATTATATGTTGACTTAATTGGGTTTCCAAATTTTTAATTTAAGTTGCTTGACTTTGTAATTGAGTCCCTAATTGGATCACTACATCTTCCAATGCAACACATTAGTATTGGAATATATATAGGTCTAGGATTAACAACAAGTTGGTGAGGATTGTTCCAATTTACTCCTTGATTATTTTGACTAAAATTTCATTGATTGTTACCAACAATATTATTTAACCAATTAAAATTAGGATGGTTCCTCCAACCTTGATTATATGTACTAGAGTAGGGATTATTTTTTATTTTAATAAAATTAAAATTTTTAATCCATTGTAATTACTTCTTTAATTAAATTTTGATCCTCTAATTGTATAAATGATTCAGTTCCTAATTCTACATTTACTCCTATAATACTCAACTTCTTAGGAATTATTGCAACTTATGTAGTCAATATTATCTAAGCATCAAATTCATATATTCCTATTACTCTCTTAGGATTTACCTTATGTAGAGGCCACTACAAATTATTAGTAGTTATTTCTTCTATTAATTTATATGCTTCCTAAAGTGGCTTAGACATTAATAATGCTCTAGATATGGCATCCAAAATTTCTCTAAGAGATACTACTAATCCATTATAAAATTTTTGAATAACCAACCAATCAAGTAAACCATGGTGAGGGCATTTCCTAAAAATTTCCTTAAATCTCTCCCAACTCTCATAAATTGATTTTCTTTCAAATTGGGTAAAGGAAGTGATATAATTTCTAAGTTCAACAATCCTTGAAGGTGAGAAATACTTAGCAAGAAACTTATGAGCCAACTCATTCTAAGTGGTTATAGAGCCTGGGGGTAAAGAATTTAACCACATCTTAGCTTTATCTGTTAAAGAAAAATGGGAACAATCTAAGTTTAATAGCATCATCACTAACACTTTTATACTTAAATGTTACATAAATTTCTAAGAAACTAGCTAAGTGTAAATTGGGAGCTTTAACAGGATTTCCCCCAAACTAAGAATTTTGAACCATTTTAATTATGACAGGTTTTAATTCAAAAATTTTATCTTTGATCATAGGTCTATTAATGCTCTAATTAATTCCATCTACTAAAGGGTTAGCATAATCTCTAAGTGGTCTAGAATGATCTTGATATAATAAAGGTTCATCTATTTTTATAATCTTTATAGTTTTTCAAATTTTTAAAAGGGTTCTTTCTATTTTGAAGTTAGGCATAAAGGTTTCTTTTTATGTCTATAAAGCATACAATCATGAATATACAATAAATAAATAAAATAAAAGATATAAGTAGGTCTAACTATATAATTAATTCAATAATATGATTAAAATTATAAAAAATAAAATACTTTCCCGGCAATGATGCCAAAAACTTGAGGGGACTATGGAGTGAAGTTTAAAATTATATAAAAATCTAAGGCTTTATCACCTCTAAATAATGCTTAAGTTTTTTTTTTTTATATAAAATTAATAAAACTCCACTTAATATGCGCTACTATACATGCCAAATCAAATAATAAAGTGATAGAGTAGAGCGTTAAACCCACGAGGAAGTATGCTTAATTGCAACAAACTACTACTGTTTACTTTAATTGTAATAATTTTCCCACTGAAATAAAAATAATAATTATAGAGATTTTATAACTGAATAAAATAATAGAAATATTGGATATAATATTTAATTTAAGTGTTTTGATTTATGAGTATAAATTTCATATCTTTCCTATTAAACTTTTAATTATTGATGAGATTCAGAGTATATGCATCACTAGATCTTTATCGAGCTTTTAGGGGTTAAAAGAATATCTACTAGCCTCCTATAGTTATAGCATCTCCTTAAGAACCTATAATATGTTATATCCTATGTCTAAGCTTATAATCATCCTATGTTAAAATTCCTTATTGTTCTTACATTCCTCCATCAAGGATATACATCATACTATATTTTAACTACACATATGACCACTATATGTATTAAATTAAGAATGATATAATATTAAAATATCATTTAATATTTATAGAATAAGTTTCTTTATTAGTGCTTAACATGCACTCTACATCATTAATCCAAAATAAGAGAATTAACTAAATATATAATAAATAACAAGCAACTAAATTTTCATTAAATTTATGGAAGAATGAAAATATAAGAGAGTGATATCACCAAAAAGAATCAAAGTATCTTCCATACACTCATTCTCTCATAACTTATAGTGTTGCTTCAAGAAACACAGGATATATACTCCAAGTGATTCTTAGAGGGAACTATAGAAGTACTCAAAGAAATACCAAATTTTACATAAGTGAGTGACTCCCTTACAAATCTAACATCAAAATTATTTATAGGATAACACAAAAAGGAATATAATACCACGACATTGAAAGAGTGGCGCTGTGGCACCCTTGAAGTGAACTAACGCCTCGGTGCTGAAACTTTTGCACTAGTATGGTGCTTGCTAATGTGAATCAGTTACTTAGTAAACAATGAAATATCTTCATTGATATAACATGGTCCTTTGAAGTTACAATTGCAACAGTGGCATAATTTATATCTGAGCACTATGGCACTAGAGTGAAAAAAATGGTGTTAGTGCTTGAGAAATTATGACCCAACGACATTTGAAATTTGAGAATCTTCACTACCAAGCTAACTTCTTAACACTATGGTGTTATTAATACTCAGTGTTAGCTTTTTTGATGCTGCAACATTGGCAAACATAGAACATGGCAATATTATGTCCTATTTGTAGCATCTCGATGGTATCGAAGGTAGTTGTGGCGTTATTTTATTGGACGCCATAACACTATAAGCTCTTTAGAATTTTTTGTGAATTTAAGTTTTTTCTAAACCAATATAACTAAAATAATATATTTTCACTAAAAATAAAATATGGAAAACATTGCATAATTTACACTTGTCCCCTACATATGTGGATTCAAATTCATATTCATAATCTATATAAGTCCCCATTTCTTCAGTTTAAACTAGTAAACTATATATATTCTTGGGTTTAATAAGCATTACTTCTTATTCTTCTTTTGTTTCACTTCTTAAGTGAGGAACAACTATCTTTAGCTTGAGTGGAATTTTAGCTATCATGGGTAGAGTCAACATTGCCTTCTTTCTTCTTCTTTATTTATTGGCTATTTCTTTTTTAGTAGGTTTCATAGCTTGTAATGCACAGGCCTCGACTTTAGAAGGTATTCAACTTTCATTTTTGAGAACAAAAAATTGGATATCTTGGTAAATTCATAATAGACATACCATAAAGGGTTGTATATCAAAAGATACCCTAAATTCTTCTCCATCCCTTGTATACTTCATGGAATGATATAGAATTAATGGAACAATTCCATATTCATGGAGCCACGACCATCCTAGGAATGCTTTAAAAAAGGTATTAATATCAACCACATGAAACTTGGCCTATATATAAAGATTACCAAATCCGAGGAGGATAAAGGAGCCTATTATTTTCTACCTTTTGCTTTAAAACCTTGCACCATCACCTATTCTCACCTAAGGTGTTGAACATCAAGAGATAGTCATCTCAATATTCATATGTTTTTGCACTATGGGAAAACACGTGAATACTGTCAGATTTTATGGCAGAATATTTTGCGTCGGTAAATACGGCATTTGTATCGGCGCATAATGAGGAGAAATGATGATGGCATTTTTTCGGCGCATAGAGCGACGAAAAATTTTCGACGTCAAATATGCCGGTCATAATGTTGGAATATACCAGCATTTCATTGTTACCGGCACACTTTATGGCGAAAATTGTTCGACGCACTTTCCGGTGGATAATATGATGATTATTTTAAACTCAACGACTTGTAACCGGCGCAAAATGCACCGGGCATTATTCCGGCGTCTCAGACGCCAGAAAATCCACCGACAAAAGCCCTATTTCTGAACCCGAGCCCGTCTGACTGCTCATTTCATTCGTTCATTTCTCTCACATCTCCCGTGTCTCCCTCATCGCCCAGCATTGCTTACCGCAGATCGACGTCGCTGAGTTGTGTTGACGTTCACCGAACGTCGTCGACGATCACCGCCTTCATCGTTGGTGAAAGCTCTATTTTGGATCATGAGTTTCGCCTCTCGTTCGCCTCCCTCCCGTCGATTGTAAGTTTTTTTTTACTCATGTAATTTCTTTTTAGACATTTGATATAGGATGCATATTGTCTATTATGGAAGCCATACATTTTTTGAGAGGTTTGATGGAGAAATATAGAGAGAGTAAGGAGGATCTATATATGAGTTTTGTTGAATTAGAGAAAGCATATGATAAAGTTTCAAGAGGAATGCTATTGAGAGTTCTTACAAAAAAAAATAGTTAATAACGCTTATATTCAATGTTTTGTTTTGTTTCTAAACTTTTCAAAATTAATTTGGATTCATGCCGGGTAGGTCTATTATAGAAGCCATATATTTTTTGAGAGGTTTTATGGAGAAATATAGAGAGAGTAAGGAGGATCTACATATGATTTTTGTTGATTTAGAGAAAGCATATGATAAAGTTTCAAGAGAAGTGCTATGGAGAGTTCTTGAAAAAAAAAGAGTTAATAATGTTTTTATTCAAAACATTAAAGATATATATGCATGAGCTATTACTTGTGTTCAAACACAAGGTGGTTTGACCAAGTATTTTCCTATTTTGTCTGGATTACATCAAGGAACTGCCTCAAGTCCATATCTTTTTTCTTTAGTCATGGACATTCTCAATAGGCATTTGCAAGAGGATGTACCTTTATGTATTCTTTTTGCTGATGATATTCTTCTTATTGATAAGATTAGAGAGGCAATTTAAGGTAAACTTGAATTATGGAGGTCAACTTTAGAGTCTAAAGGTTTTCGCTTGAGTAGATCTAAAACTAAATATATTGAGTATAATTTTGGTGAAATTGAAGGGGATATTATCAGCAGAATTCAAGTTTGATGGTTGAAATGGAGGATGCATCGGGCTTATTGTGTGATAGAAAAGTCCCCTTCAAACATAAGTGAAAATTCTATAAGATGGTGGTGAGACTTGCAATGCTTTAATGTGCCGAATGTTTGCCATAAAAAGAGAAGCATAATACTAAGTTAAGTGTTGCAGAGATGAGATGCTTAGGTGGATGAGTGGCTTGACCCTTTGAGATAGGATACAAATTGATCATAATTTTCTACAATCACCTCAATGACTTCCTTGCATTGAATCACCTATGACTTTTAGCTTTTACTTGTGTTAAAACACAAGGAAGTTTGACAAAGTAATTTCTTATTCACTTTGATTGCATCAAGGATAAGCCTTAAGTCCATATCTTTTTACTTTTGTCGTAGATGTTCTCACTAGATATTTACAAAAGGTCCAGCACATTTACCACCATATGTTTTTTGCTGATGATATTCTTCATATATTTCACCACCTATTTCACCATCACTTGAATTCTAATGTTAATATCTCCATATATTCAGTTTTAGATCTACTCAAGCAAAAATCCATTACTTATTTGCTCTTATATTTAGGTTATGGACATTAGAAATCAAAGAAATTAGATGTATAACTGATTATCTCAAGGATAAAAGACATTAACAGATGAATTCATTAATGGGGTGAACATTTTTATTCAGCAAGCGAAACAACTACCCAGCTTCATATTAGAAGGAAAGTTTTGATGTACATGTTCTAAATATAAAAATCTAGTGCACCTAACACCAAATGATGTAACTGTTGATCTGTATCGCAGAGGATTCATGCCACGGTATTGG